CTCCGCAGTTGGGTTCTTTCTAACGGAAGTTTCCGTAGGGGTTTTTTTTTCAGGTGGTGCACTGTTTAGAAGCGGAATCCCCAATATCCTAAAGCTTTTCCCTCTTTCAAACGAGTTGACACTGCAGCTCCTGATCGACTGAACTTCCCCAGAAAAAGAGCGCACTGAGGAAAGCTCACATTTCAGCGAACTTCATGTTGACTACACGGCGTACTGCAAAAAATCGAAGGAACGCTTTCAGTACGTCTGTCCAAAGCCGTTTCGGTTCAAAACCTATGCAGAGCAGGTGAGTTCTTGAATTCTTCTTTGCCCCTCACTACGGAAACGCCAGATTTCCCTTTATATCTCTGATTCGCCTTCATCAAACCGAGGTAGGGTGTTTGTCTGTTCACCTTGTCGCACTCCCTTCATCTCAGTAATCCAACCTCAAAAGATGAACGGCGCAGTACGGCTCAGTGGGGCCACCAATTCACACTCAGCGACAGCGTACAGCATCGTCATGTGTGAGGTGGTGGTGTAGGTACGACCCCCTCCCTCCCTTTAAATGAGAGTCTCGGTACGACCACCCTTCCCAACACCCACCTACAAATTTCCTCCACTTTCCCCAAACCACCCGAAATTTTCACCCAAAATTTTGGTGTCGAGGGGGTAAGGGGGTACATAGTGCACATGAAACAGGAAAAATCATGCAAAAAAACAACAACCGGAACCAACGCGACAAATTTTTCTCAGAGGCGAGGCACAAACGACCCCCCTCTCCCAATGACCAAATACGACCCCCCTCTCAGAGAAAAAGTACGACCCCCTATATGTGTTTCTCACAGCGATGCTGTACTCTGCTCAGCGAGTACAAGTCACTTTGTGAAGATCTGTGAGTTCTCTTTAGTAGAGCACCCCTCTTGTGGGTAAACCACTTTGCAGCATTACCGGCCGATCCTCCTTCTGCGTAGTGACTCTCTCCTCGCACAATTTCCAAAAAAATAGAAGGCAACTCAGACCCTCCCTATAGTCAGCTCTCTAACTTTTTCATATCCTACCTAGCCTGAAGATTCTTGAAAAGGCGTTGATGTGTTTGGAATTTGTAGCCGTAGAGCAGTATTTTCGTGCTGTTCGGCTGCTTCCAGTTGTTCAGCGTAGGTACGCACAACTTATTAGATTATCAGAACAAAGCCGGGTGTATTTAGGAGAAGTGATAGTTCGCCAATTTGTAGAGGAGGTATTAGTACTTTGACTGAAGCTTCGTCCAATGCAGTTACGTATGCTAATGCTAATACGAAGTTATGATTCAAGCCACGTTCACAGCCGTGTGCCTGCCCCATCCGTCCACCTATTCATTCTCTGCCGTTTCCCACATTTTCCGCTCTCCGGGCCGTTTTGGAACCGAATTACGAGTTTTTGAAAGCAAGCACCGTCCACCTATAGAACGCCCGCCCATAATGGGTGTCTCACCCATTTTGTCCGCCTATTCTTTTCCCCTTTTCTCCCCCCGGGGGCCTTTTTCAGCACCTCGTAATTGGGT